ACTGCACCATAAGAGATGTTTAAGGTGGACATCATGAGCAACATTATCACCACTCATGCCATATCTATGACCATACGTCCCAACATGCAGCCTGGATGACACATACAGCAAGCTGTACACTATGCTATGACCCATACTCCTGTCTAATAGCACACTGCAGAACTAAGTTCACCATATCTGAATGTTTTCCTCCGACCTTCTTATGACTAACTACACACCCTAGGCCTTACTCCCATAAGACTAAGACACCCTACATAACATGCTAATCACCACTTCATACAGTTTAAGCCTTTTACTTTGCTTGTTTATTTTGTTGAGACTTACAATTCGCCGTGTTTATACAACCTGTTTACAATTACTTAAAAAATTGTGCCACGACCTTAATGCCATATGAATGTACAACTGTATTATCACTGGGCTTACATACGCCATTGTGGCACTGTAAGCTGTCTTGTTATATCTTGCACAACGAAAAATAAAGAATTTAAAAGTAAAATAAATATTTAATGCAGGTTATAAGTGATTTTCAATGTTCAAACATCAAATGCTAGTTCAGATGTATACATTCCATAAAAGTGACAGTTCCCCTTTACGAACCTCTTGTTTATTGTATATGGAGTTTGACTAAATTCTGCTTCATGTCTTTTTTATTCTTGACAGAGGAAATGTATTCCAGTTTCCAAATTCAGAAAAGAACGAGCCTGTGTCTGTAGGTGAAACATGTGAGCAGAGCATAGGTTTCCAAAACATGCCAGAAGAGTCAATTCAAGAGCTCTCCTGTGATCAGGACATGGATGTCATGGAAACAGAAGCCTCCCAGGAGGAAAGAGACTTGCATGTTCAAGCAAAAGAGAGAAACCAGCTTGAAGAAGTTGTTGAGCCCAAATCATCTAAGCAACAAGCAAATGAGGAGTGCACATCACCAGGTCATAGAGATAAAGAAGTTCAGACGGTTAGTGATGTAAAACGTACATCATCTGTTGTGTCATCATCTACCCAGACCGACATGATGTCCAGCCTACGTTTTGAGAAAACTGGAAGTGATGCTAGACAAAGAAACCTGAAAGCCGATGCTAACAAGCCGACTGAGAAGGACCATGAGAAATCAAAACAAGGAGATGACACGGAATCCGTTCACAGCCAGGTAGGTCATGGTCTGTGGATATTTTTATATTTTTGCCAACTTTATAGTCTGTTAATTGCAAACATACAAATACGTTTCATTGACTTGACGATTCATATACAATTGTATTTTAAACTAGAAAAGCTACAATTTCTGGGGAAATTGTGTGAAGTGTTCTTGCCTCCACCAGTAGTCTACAACTGGAGTGGGCGGAGTAACTGTGGAAAGGTTGGAGTGTGGTTCACTCACTCTACAGCAAGGGCAGAGAAGAGCTTTCAAATCTTTCAAATCCCTCGAACATTCCACCAACTGCCAACAGGAACTAATAGATTACAAATAGGGCAGAGAAGAGCGGTTAAAAACAAACTGCTCCAAATTGCTCAATAAGAATAATAATATATATGTGAGATAATAGTAAGTGGCCTTGCCATGTAGGGATATAAATGTACCAATTTATATCAAAACGTTCAGCTATCCCTGCTGCCACTGCAATGTTTTGTACAAATCGGTCAATAATTCCTGTATAATTCCTGTATAACGAAGTACTCACTTTATTAATACATACATAGCAGGATCTTCATATTGCAGCCTTGTTACACAAGGTTTCTGCAGCTGCCATTTCAAATCCCTCCAACATTCCACCAACTGCCAACAGGAACTAATAGATTTCAAATAGGGCAGAGAAGAGCGGTTAAAAACAAACTGCTCCAAATTGCTCACTTCACTGGCGGTTGCCATCTTCAAACGGTCTTATTTTAAAAACTATAAATCCTACAGCGAAGAGCTCTATATTGTGAGAATCCCAAGACCCAGACCTACATTATGATGCATAGTATGTCTCTGAAATAGTAAAAATGAAGGCACAGTCGCAGTTTAGAAATTGCCATTCAAATTTGAGCTGGCTAGAGTGGAGTTTCAATGAATGTCAATGGATGGTGTGAGTTGCAAACAAATGGTCATATTGTGAAAACTATCAGGACTATGGCCTAGCCGTGGACGTTTAGTGGCAGCAAGGATAGCTGAACGTTTTGATATAAGATTTGTGTAGGTGGGCCTGAAAATAAGGGAGTGGTGGCAGTTTAGAAATCATGTCCTGATTTTTCAGCTTTTGCCAGCTCCCACTCTCGTTTTGAACATTTTGCCACAAAATCGACGATATTTTGTGAACCATTCGGCGAAACGTTCCACAAAGTAATAGCAATCCAATTGGGAACAATCCGCACGTTTAGGTATATTACTGTCTATGTAGTGTAAAAACTGTGGGAGGAGTTAGGGTGGTAAATTTGGCTATAATAAGAATAAGAACTAGAAAAGCTACAATTTCTGGGGAAATTGTGTGAAGTGTTCTTGCCTCCACCAGTAGTCTACAACTAGGGATCGAGCGATTATCGGTTTTACCGATATTATCAGACGATATTCGGTATTTTTGGCAGTATATGTATTGGTCACTAAAGATACCGATATTGATAGAGTGAGGAATGCATTTCAACTTTTATTTATATAGCACATTTAATTGCCCAAAGTGCTTCATAGTTACATTAAAACATACATTTAGAAAAACATTAGCAGGTGTACAAAAGGCCCGGTCTATGACATCACTTGCTGCTGCAGCCTGGCACAGGTCAGAGTATTTTGGCGGTTGCCAACTTCAAACGGTCGTATTTTAAAAACTATAAATACTACAGCGAAGAGCTTTATATTGTGGGAATCACAAGACCCAGACCTACATTTATATATTACGGTCTATGTAGTGTAAAAACTGTGGGAGGAGTTAGGGTGGTAAATTTGGCTATAATAATATATATGTGAGATAACATTAATTGGTCTTGCTATGCAAGAACACTTAAGTGTTGGCTGGCAAATTACGGGTTATTTATTCATCTGTTTGTTGGCAAAAGTAGTTGTTTTTTTGCAATATGGCTACATCAGAGCTGAGAATAGATTAGAAATAGATGTGTTGTTGCAATAATGTTTCACCTGTGTATGAGAAACTCCACAAAGACAGACCGGAGGGAACTTGTTGTTTTCTCGAGAGTGTAGCAGCTTTCACTGGTAGCAGTTCAAAAAAAAAAATCCATGTAACTGTGCAGGTCATTCACAGTATAAAACACCTAATTTGTTGCCCTGGTGTTTAACTGCACCTCCATAATAGAAACATTTTAAGTAGTCTTGATATTGTGTTTTTTTCCCATATAGCTTATTTAGTTAATGTATCCTTAGTATATGTTTCGTTTTGTGCTCATCTTTACTTTGTAGAGCAGGTGTAGGTTCTAAAATGTCTCCTTCAAAACATTCAGAAAGTGTAACAAATTAATTGTATACTAATTTATGCCCCTTAAGCAAGTAATAAAATATAGAGCAATAAGTCATTGATAAATGTAAAATTGGATTTCCCGCCGGGCAATTTTTAAAAACTTCTATTTGTAATTCTTTATTTTTGTTGTGCATGGATGGTACAAGACATCATTTTTAGTTGTGGTTAGTACACCTTACTAATTTTACTAAAAAATTATATATTTTTTACTCTTTCTAAAATATAAATTCAGCTAAATTGTGATATTGGTTTAAGTGTATTTTTACATGTATGCGTGTGTATATATAACGGTTTTATTTCTATTGTAGGAAGAGGAGGACTTTGAATTAAATCATCCAAAGCCAGCACGCCATCTCCAACGCCACGTGCGCACAATCCGTGAAGTGCGTACTGTTGTCACAAGAGTTATTACTGATGTTTATTACATGGATGGAGCAGAGGTGGAGCGAAAGGTAGTGGAGGTTAGTGTACTTATGATTTGAAAATCTCAAACAAATAATTAAATTTAGAAAATTGTGTTATAAATCCTATTCTACCACAATAAAAGGGGAAAGTCAACATCCATTAAAAACAAATTTCTAGAATCACAAAGATTCTGTGTGAGTGATTCTGCATTTTTTTTTTTTTTTTTATTCTTTATTTTTGTGGTGCAAATATTCAACACTTGTTCTTGTAATGCCCCAACAGCAGTAACAAGAACTGTAAGATACACATTTTAACAGGGTCGAAGTACATGCGATTACTGCACACATTTTTTTAGTGAAGTAAGTTTTCAGGCTAGTCAAATCTGTCTGAGTTAGAAATAAAACAAATTAGGTATTCAATAATAGCTATCCAGACATAGACAAATGATGAGAAACTGGGTTATTCAACATGTTATAAGACAGGAGTATGGGTACGAAAAATTGGCAGTGTAGGTGTGGGAATTCCGTAGGCTCTAGAGTGTCAGGCAGGCCTCTGATTTTGATATTTTTCCAACGCCTCTTATCTACTGATACCCCAGTAATTTCTTCCCGGAACCGCCCGATATCGGCCGCTATGTTCCGGCGGAGCTCATCCAGGAGGCTCTGCAATGTGTCCTCTGTGATTGGAGGCTTTGCCGCTGGCGTGGGCCTCGGGGGCACGGGTCTAGTAGGTACTCTATTGTCATAGTCCTCCCCGTCTGCTGAGATCTCGTCGCTGGATGTGAGCCCATCTGACAATGGCGCCATTTCAGGCCTTCCGGTGGATTGCGGCCTTCTCAGGAGCTCACCAATGTCAGCTGTTTGTATTTCTTATTACTACGCCCCATGCCTTCAAATCCAAATTGTAAGATGGCACTTCACAGTACACTAGAAGGGGTGTAAAATACAGACTTAATCTTATTAGGCTAAAAAGATCCAGTCAATGATGGTTTGATGAGATTAAATTGCCTCATTGCTTGCATTATGTGGGATACGAGTAAGACTATGATTAATAACTTGTAAGTGCAAACCTCTGTCTCAAGCTTGGTTAGCGTTAGTACAAAAAATGTGGATGTCCAAATCTGCTTCAACCATCAAATGTAATTAATACTGAGTGTTGGTAAAATCACCGGTTATAAATGTTTGAGGAACACTATAGGGTCGGGAACACAAACTTGTATTCCTGACCCTAGTATTAACACTATCTAGTACCATCTGACCCCCTAAATATAAAAAATTAAAATCATCTTGCCTTTATTCAAGTCTTCTGGTGCTGGCTCTGCCCCTGATCTGGCTCCTTGGCTGACATCATCAGAAGTGGTGATCTCGGCCAATCACAATGCATTCCCACTGATCTCATCCAAGTAGGTGGGCTAGGGGCAGAGCTAAATGCTGCCCTGGCCAATCAGCATCTCCTCATATAGATGCATTGAATCAATGCATTTTTGAGGAAGGTTTTTCCATCTGAAAAGTGGCCACTGGAGGTATACCTAGGCTGTAAGGTAAACCCTGCCTTTTCTCTGAAAAGACCGTGTTTACTGCAAAAAGTCTGCTTTGACATGCTATACTCACCAGAACAACTACATTAAGCTGTAGTTGTTCTGGTGACTATAGTGTCCATTTAAATCAAACATACTGCATGGACGTCCATGTTACCACAACCCCAGGCATATTTTATTTGATATCTTTAAAAGTGTGCGTATCCAAAGTTGTGCACACATTTCTTGAAGCCGCTTTATTTCTACTTCACTCTGCTGCTCTGAATGTATAAGATGAATTGTACATTTGTGCCTTTTCAACGACTGCTAGATGTGCAGATTAAGTATTCATTTTTATTTTTAATTAACCTTTTTTTTTTTTTTTTATAAATTGCTATATATTTTAATTTTTTTGTATTTCGAGTAATCAGTGGAACATTTACAAACAAATTTATATACAGAACATTGACTTTAAAAAGAAATATTAGACTTGTGCACAGTGGGATTGTTCGGTTCTTTCACACACAATTTCCTGGAAAAATAAGAAAGAAAAAAAAAATATATATATAAGATGTCAACGTTTCAGCTCCCGATCGGAGCTTTCATCAGGACACAATAAAAGATACATAAAATGAGAGCGAGATAGAGAGATATAGATATAGATATAGATATAGATATAGATATAGAGATAGAGATAGAGATAGATATAGAGATAGAGATAGAGATAGAGATAGAGATAGAGATAGAGATAGAGATAGATAGATATATAGATAGAGATAGATATATAGATAGAGATAGATATATAGATAGAGATAGATATATAGATAGAGATAGATAGATAGAGATAGATATATAGATATAGATAGATATATAGATAGAGATAGATAGAGATAGATAGATATATATATATATATATATATATATATATTATACACACTAACCAATGGTCACTCACCTAATCAGCTGTGGTCTATCAACCCTGATATCTAACGTATACTCATTGCTCGTCCGCACGTCTGACTTCCATGACGCTCCTCCCGCATTAGGGAACGGCCTTTGCCAATCGCCTGTAACGGCTACGTCACAGTTCCAAGGTAGCCAATCCTCGGCCGCCCCTGTGGTTATGGAAGCCGCAAGGAGACAGACTCCTATTACTGTGATTGGCCCGCCCTTTCCGTGATGCGGGTTTGTTTTACGCTGTCATGGCAACAAATTCAGACCGGACCTATGGGGATATTGAAATGGGTCCATACTATGTATGGCTCATTTCATAGTTAACCCTGTATATTATTTCTGATACATTAAGGATAAAGCCTTCAAAATTCTAAGGGGTGAAAGGGAAATACAGACATATTTTCTTGGGTATTGAATTTTATATTCTAGTGCTAGATAATAAATTTGATTCTGTGATACTCCAAGTATTTGACCATTACTTGTGCTTATACTTTACAAATGGATAAAGTGTAAATATAACAATCTCTAAAAAATATAATACTAAATGTCAAGTAATATGTGTATGAGTGAATAACATGTAGAAAGACTATATTTTCTAGATAAAATTATGTGAAACTGGATCATAAAGGAGGACACTAAGAGATACAAAATTTAAAGGAAAACCATAAGAACAATACAGAGTTCCTGATTTTAAATGCTGTAGGTGAAGTGAACCAGAGGTTATATACAATAATAGAACACGTTAAAAAAAAAAAACAACCTTTTTTACGGTCATTAGACTAGGAATTTAAATTATTTATATGCATAATTATCAGACTTATAGGAAAGAAAGAAATGAACATTTCTCATTCCAGCCTCTAGGAGACAAAGTGTTAAGTTCCAGTATCCAAAAAGTCTCTCTCTGTAGGAGGAATTTCCCCCTATTGCCCCCTCTCACTGCCACCGGAACATGGTCCATGGCCACACACCTCAAAGAAGAGAGTTGGTGTTGTTTCTCCAGGAAATATCTAGCCACAGGTTTATCCGACTTGCCATCCCGATAGGCCAGGCGGATACTTGACCTGTGGCCCCTAATTCTCTCGCACAGTGCTGTTTCTGTTTTGCCTATATAACTCAATCCACAAGGGCATGTGAGTTTATATATGACAAACTCTGTGCGGCAATGTATCCTATGGGCAATCTTGTACACCTTGCCCGTATGGGGGTGGGAAAAGGTCTTGGAAGGAATTATGTGACCACAGGTTACACACCCTAAACATCTGACACAGCCAGTATTTTTGTTTTCTGTTATTGATGGTATATAACAATGGACAGGGTCTGTTTTTACCAGTAAGTCCCATAGGTATTTGTTCCTTTTGTAACAGAATATCGGTTTTGATGTTAGTTCTTTAGGAAGTGTCGGATCCTGTTTTAATATATTCCAGTTTCGAGTGACTGACTCCGTTATTTGCTTAGTTGCTGAATTTAATCTCATTGGGAATACCATTCTTGTTTCCAATGTTTTCCGAGATATTGTCTCTTTATTATTATATTGCTCTTTTGCTCTGAGCAAAGCATTTTCCAATACCAGTCGTTTATATCCCCTCTTCATAAACTTTTAATACACGGTCTTCAATTGTTCCTCGCACTGATCTTCCTGGGAGTTGTTACGGTATACCCTTAAAAACTGTGATACGGGCAGCGAGTTCTTCAGATGTTGTGGGTGAAAACTTTCGAAGTGTAAAATCGTATTCCGATCGGTAGGTTTGGTGTAGAGACTATACTCAAGTTTCTGGTTTCTAACGGTCAATTCGACATCAAGAAATTGGATACTTTTGGTGTCGATTTTAGAGGTTAATTTAATTAGGGTGGGCAACTCATTGATCTGTTTAATGAGTGCCTCAGCCTCTTCTTTTGTTCCTCTCCACAATATCAGGATGTCATCTATGAATCGATAATATTTAATGATCTGATCTTGATATGGTGTCAAAATATATTGCTGTTCAAACTCAAACATAAAAGTGTTGCCGTACATTGGGGCCATAGCTGCCCCCATGGATGTACCGGAGACTTGCATAAACCACTTGGTTTCGAAACGAAAATAATTGTTTCGTAAGGCTAATTATAATAACTCCATAGTATACTCAATTGGTGGTCCACGATAATGTACGGAGGTAGAAAGTAGTTTCCTCATCGCTTCAATACCCTCTTCGTGTGGTATAACCGTATATAAACTGTTTACGTCCATAGTGATAAGTAGCCCATTAAATTCCTTGATTTGTTCAAAGTCACGTAGGAGGCTATTAGTATCCTTAACACACGTTGGTATAGCCGTGACTGGTTGTTTAAACAAATAATCCAAGTACTTAGCTATATGTTCTAAAATGCCCTCTATTGGGAGTCATTTAGGCTTTTATGGGGCGGCCGAGGATTGGCACAGGGGCGGCCGAGGATTGGCTACCTTGGAACTGTGACGTAGGCGTTACAGGCGATTGGCAAAGGCCGTTCCCTAATGCGGGAGGAGCGTCATGGAAGTCAGACGTGCGGACGAGCGATGAGTATACGTTAGATATCAGGGTTGATAGACCACAGCTGATTAGGTGAGTGACCATTGGTTAGTATTATATATTTGTCATTTTATGTATATCTTTTGTGGTGTCCTGATGAAAGCTCCGATCGGGAGCTGAAACGTTGACATCTTTTGGATCAACTGAGAATTAAAACTGATGAACTAATCCTATTTTTTCATATTTTATACTGTTTGGACTTGGCACCAGGTATTCAATATATTTAAAGTTGGAGTGCAAGAGGTCTTCTATTTGTTTGAGATATATATATATATATATATATATATATATATATATATATATATATCTCTATCTATATCTATATCTATCTCTATGTATAGATAGAGAGATAGATATATATATTATAATCTCCATCTCTTTGAGGTTTTCTCACCTATTGTGTGCTGGATATTTTTCGTTTTGGATTATACAATGAGCTGAGAATCAGTGAGACACTGCAAGTTCTATAACCATTTGTAGTAGCTTAAAATTTTAGAAACTTTATCTTTTTTTTTTTTTTTTTGCTTTAATCTCAGGAAGCTGAAGAACCAGTAATTGAATGCCAGGAGTTTGAGAATGACTTATCACCGTCCAGAACTGTTGCCTCTTCTCTTACCTCTGGGGATCTTGCAGACATTAGCTCATTTTCATCAAAAACCTCAAGCCTTCAACGCACATCTAGTGGGGCAAGTAGTGGCCTCTCGGCAGCACAAAGCATTAGTGGAAGCAGCTCAGAACGTGCTAGAACCTCTGCTTGGCAGAAAGGGAAAACCGGACAGCTGGAACCTAAAGAGTTTGCCATTCCAAGTGCACGTGGGGCAGCAGGAAAACTGAGGTACTTTTGGAAGAACCATTTTTATATTAAGACATCTTGGGGGAAGTTAGAGTCCAAATATATATATAAACCACTTTTAAAAGATTATACACAAGACTGCACATTTAATATGCTGAAAGAGCATCTAGGAGTTTTATCTAATGAAATTTTGGAAGCCTACTGTATGTATCAGATACCCTTAACTGTAGTGAATCTACCATAGACAGGAACACAGTAGTGGGCCCACTTAATGAAGTCAGACATATGTGAAGCTAGAAGCAGGACAGTGTAGGCGTTAAGCCCAAGATGCTTGTAGAGCCTTAAGATAAACTCTCTTCATTTTTTCCAGTCCTAGGAAAGTGCCCAGCCAGCCAGGGTCTCCACACCGGACAGGAGGACACACTGGTTTGCCAGTGAGTGAAGATGATGCAGATGCATCGCTTGGCAACAGACCAGGGGCCAAAGCGCCCCTTACACCCCGTGGAAGAGGGAGGAGGGGTCGCCCTCCTTCTCGTGGAGCTGGTTCAAGGTATCCATAGTGAGACAGTTTGGGTCTTCTCAGGGAATTATTGGTGATATTAGGAAGAATATATCTTACGAACTCTTGGTGTTGGCAGTCATTTCAAATTGATTTACTACAGCCTTGAGGGACAACTCTACATATTCAGGGAAGGGGACCACATAATTTAATATATCATATAAAATCATTCTACTTCATTCTTGATGTCAGGCATTTATGAATCAATTTCGTGCTTTGTTTTAAAATATAGATGCCAAGACTGGGTGAAATTATCCCTGCTTGCATACCATTTTATTATTTTCTTTATTGATGAATTTGTTCTTTTGTGTAGCACCCTTATTTTCTTTCTTCTGTAAAACATACATTTCCAGGTTTCAGTTTCTCCTGCCAGCATTAATATATGGTGGTGACAATATCATTTATTCATAATGCTGATTGTCTCTCATTCATGGTTGCTTACCATGTGTGTCCTTGGCTGTCCTCACATGCAGGCTCTATGCCTCCCTGCAGCTCAGCTCACATTGCTTTCAGTGGCTGAGTTTGGTACATACGCAGATGTAAAGGCCAGCCCAGGAACAAAGTAATTGAAATTGGGGAGATGGGCCTGGGGAGGCCAAGTTATGTTGCAGAAAGCAGTTAGAGGAACACTCCGGGCACCTTAACAACTTCCTTGGAAATACGTTTAGACAGTGCTTTGAACCTCCTGGCGTTTTCTTAACTTTAGGGGTTAAACCATTCACAAACCTCAAGTTGGCTCTCCAGCGCTGTTACTCCCTGTAACTGTCCACATCTACTTTCTCTAATCCTAATTCAGGAAGCACAGCTTGCCACCAGGCAATGGTGCTGCTGATTGGCTTAGAGCGTCAGCTGACCATTCAAAGCCAATCAGTAACTCCAAATTTTTTCATGAATTGGTAGCTACTGTTTGGTTTGGGGAGTTAGCTGACCGCTGTAAGCCAATCACTGGTTACCCCTTCCTGGCAGAAGGCGAGCTTCCTGAAACAGAATTGGAGAAAAAGGATGTTTATGGTTACAGGAGGAATGGCACTGGAGACAACTTGGTTAAACTGATTTGTGAACGATTTGATCCCTAAAGGTAAGGTGTCATTGGCCTCCTAGCAATTTAATTTCGATAAAGTTGTTATGGTGCCCGATGTGTTCCTTTAAATCTCCGGGAAGGACTTGGAAAATGTAGAATTTAAGGAAAAAAACACTTAAAATGTTTTTTTATTTTTTTTAAAACATGGCTATGTAAAGTAATAGTAAGCTATTAATGAGATGTTTTTTGTTGTTGTTTTTGATGAAAATAATTTAAGTTGTTAGGGACGTGTTCCAACTTTTTGTCTAAAATGTAAGTCTTATATAAATACAGTTCTTCTTGTTTAAGGATCAGTCTGTCCTCAATCCATGAAGAATGAGCGAGCAGGGGAGTGCTAATAATCATCTTTTAGTAATCTGTTTGATAAACTCTATATTCAAATAAGTTAAAATCTGTCAAGAAAGTGAGAATACAAAGTGAATTTAAAATTTAAGATCAATCTAGCTGAACTGAAGTAATTCTTTTAAAGGAACACTATAGGCACCCAGACCACTTCAACTCATTGAAGTCATTGAAGTGGTCTGGGTGCAGTGTCCCATTCCCACTTAGTCCTGCATTGTCCTGCAGTCAGCCACTAGAGGCACTTCCTGGTGGCTGATGCTAGACATATAGTGTGAGGGATACAACTTTGAGTCAGTTATACTTTCAGTTTTTCTATCTGGTATTAAATTTGAAATTCACTTTCAACTTTCACTTTACTAAATTATTGTAGCTGATCAGGAAAAATTCTTCAACTTGTCAATAGTAATTTTACTTTAAGTGTAAAGCTGTACTGCGGTTCCTTCTCTTATCGATAATATATGGCATTCAATAACAGATGAAATGTGCATATCTTTGTGTATGTGATAGTTAATTGCCTTTCCAGAGAAACGTCTGTCCACGCACATGGAAATCCTGAAGATCTCACTGCAGCCGCAGTTCCAGATGAAGAATTGTTTACGCGCATTAATGTTCGCCACCCAGAAGTCACTGATAAATCTGATTCTATAACATCCATAATGCGCCGTAGCGATTCACCAGAAATTCCATACCAGACACCATCAACCAAGAGTGACAGTTTGGACTCTTCATCAGGCAGCAGTTTTGTGGGGCTACGAGTTGTAGCCAAATGGTCTTCTAATGGCTACTTTTATTCTGGTAAAATAACTCGAGACGTCGGAGGAGGGAAATATAAGTTGCTGTTCGATGATGGGTATGAGTGCGATGTTCTAGGGAAAGACATTTTGCTATGCGACCCAATCCCCCTGGACACTGAGGTTACCGCTCTGTCTGAAGATGAATATTTTAGCGCAGGTACGTGCTATATGAAAGGGTTCTCTATCAAGGTTTGGGGAAGTGGTTGGTATAAGAAGCATCCAAGCTTACCAAAATCTAAGATTGGAAATGTCTCTGGAAATCCACATCTGTCAGTCATTGTTATAAGATCTATTTATTATTTTTTTATCCTAGTGGTGATTGGAGGTGGCTTATGACTTGAGGGCACTCCTAAAAATAATTTATTTTGAGATGAACTCATTGATCCTCTTGAATGTCTGTAGAGATTTTAGACGGCTTAAACATATAATTTGTGATTTTAGATAGCTCGCAATATTTAAAAATTTTTTTACATTAACACAAATTGAATTTAAATGCTTAAGATTTATTTTTAATTTTTTCCCCCCCGGATTAGGCCTTTTAACATCTGGCGTAAGAGACATTGTAATTTATAAATCCATTTATAAATTACATTTATAAATCCCCTCTTAAAAATGTCAAAGTAGAATTATTAGTAGTTACCTAGACACCGATTATATATGACATATAGTGTAATAAAATTAAAAAAGTTGCTTAGTTGTGACTAGGATCATATTGTGTGGCTGAAAATGTAGTCACGTGTTTTTATACTTCAGTAAAGAATTGAAGTTCCAACAAGAAAAGTTGAGCAGTCACCATGGAAACATTGTTACAAGCTCAGCGTCAATGTTGCTTACTCACCACTTAAACTGTGAGGGTCAATCACTAAAGTGAGCATGCAAAACGAATTTCAAATTTAACATAAAATAGTTCAACTGTAAAAATGATCTGTCCGCTATGCTTACAGTTTGGCTACTTTGTACTTCAATTTTAAATACTCTTTAAATTCTCTCGAAGTTTCACTTTATTGAATAACCCTGTGTGTTATTACTGTGACTTGGTAATAAATAATGGGTTGTCTCTGTGACTACTGTGGTTATACAATATCCCATTTGTGTTTTCCAATGTTCATTGGGAAGTACTTTTTTCATTATAGTGTTAAATTCCTTTTCCCGTTTCCACCATAAATGTGATTATGCACTGCAAACCAAATTTTGAGATTTCAACCTATAGTTATTACTGTCATACTATATCAATTGCTCTGTGTATTTATATGTGTGGATATTTCAGCACCATAATGGCAATATCTGTAGCACCTACAGTTGTCTTATCTTCCAGGGGTGGTAAAGGCTCACAAAAGAGATTCAGGAGAGCTTTATTACTGCATCGAGAAAGAAGGACAAAGGAAGTGGTACAAAAGGATGGCAGTTATTTTGTCCCTTGAGCAAGGAAATCGTCTAAGAGAGCAATTTGGTCTTGGTCCATATGAACCTTCAACTCCACTCACCAAGGCATCAGACATCAGTCTAGGTAACAAATTGCTGGAACAAGTGCATTAAAAATGGCAGAAATGTCAATGTATTATTTCTGGTAAAACATTATTCCTAACTGCAATATAAATAAATACAACTAGCCGGTTGGGTTATTATAAAACAAATCTTAAAGGGGCACTAAACACCATAACAATTGCAACTCATTCTAGTATAGTGTTAATGGGTCTCTTTGTGAAAACCGGTTTGCAAAACCAGGGGATATCACTCAAACAGGGCTCTGCCAGCCCATCTGCTGTGATGCAGATAATGGAAAAGTGAGTGTACATCAGTAAAATCTTTGGTGCGAGTACAAACATTACGTGTCTCAAACCCAATCTTAAACCCTGTCATTGATTCACGGTGTTTTGCGTTTGAGGTTAATTACAGCATTATTAAAGCTGCAGCAGTGGGGCCATGCTTTAGGTATAGGGAGTGCCTTATTTGTCAAACCACTTAAATTGTTTGACACAAATCTTGGGGATGTTGCCAAAGACACTTTAAGCATCATAACTTCTGCAATGAGCTGCAGTGGTTATTGTGCTTAGATAAGTAGCTGTCCAACACTAAAAATATAATTACTTTTAGTGTTCCTTAAAGTGGGCACTCTAAGTATGCCCCCCCTCCACTATTTAACCTAAAAATTTTTTAAAATACCCGCCTTTTATACAGCCCTGTGCAGTCTACGTTGGGCAGAAGTTTGGCAGCCTACTTCATATGTGTGGCTTGCTCGGATAGAAAAGCTTTGAATCCAATGCCCCTCTTTAAGAAGCATTCAAACTGACTGACAAATGTAAACTTTTCACCATCTCACAACGTTTACATTTGCTAGACTGAATGGAAAGGATCTTTCCCCAAAATATTACATTAAAATGTAATGGTTTTGGTGCTTACGGTTACTCTAAGGTACACTTTATTCAGTTTCACGGAGTGTAATGCTAAAAATAATATGCAAAGAGCATGTAAGTGGTCTTAGATTGATTACATGAGAACACACGTGCCTATCAGTAAACAGTTGAGGTAGCTTAAACAAAAAATACCACCATACACTGAGTATACGAGGTTTTCATGTCTCCTTTGTTACTTATCAAGAAAGCTTGAATTATCTTGGCAAAATGACACCTTCAGTCTGGGCCCTGCTTGAATATGAATAACAGAAAGATGTGGTGCAAAAACAGTTTGGAATTTTTGCAAGAATATTGTGCCAGGCGTCATGTAAACATTTTTCCACATAGGCCTTTGTGTTAATTGTTAAGAATTGAATGTGATTTTCAATTTTAGGATGCAGTAGTCAATTAGGAAAATTGTTCTAGTCCGCTAAGTTTTAAGTTGAATTACAACAATTCAGTCTTTAGTACAGAACTGTGACAATGTTCTTTCAGGTGCATTCTCGCACTTCTATCACTGGAGTATTCCTTTTAAATGCATATCCATTTCTTACCACAAGATGGCAGTATTGAACTATATAAAGGATTTAAAAGGATATTGTCACTTGCCAGGAATATGTTCTCTTATCCTTGTATTTAACAAATCTGTATTTGCGAGGTGTGAAGAAAATAGAAGTGTATAGAAATCCACATCTGTCAGTCATTGTTATAAGATCTATTTATTATTTTTTTGCCTTCTTTTGGATCAACCACAAAAAGAAAATGTGAGGAAGGCTGAACTTGATGGACGCAAGTCTCTTTTCAGCTATGTAACTATCTGTCCTTTACATCTGGCAGTCAGCACAGAGAAAAGTAGAAATTAAAAAAAAATATATATTTCTCTTCGTCATTTGCAATGGATTTTGATTGTATTTGCTAAAGCCAGGGCCGCCACCAGAAATTTTGGGGCCCCTAACTCAGCTCAGGGACTGGGCCCCCTGGGGCCTGCCTCCAAATACCGCCCACTGGGTCCGCCTCCAAATACCACCCACAGGAATACACACACAGACACAAACACACACACCGATACAAAAAGACAGAGATACATACTAAAAGACACACATACTGAAACAGACTTACACGCATACAGGCATACATACTGAGACATACACACAGGCATACATAGTGACAGACAGACACATACTAACATACATACAGACACACATGCATGAGGACATAAAGACACATACATACATACAGACACCGACATACATACATACACACACACAGACATACTGACAGACATACAGACACTGTCATCCATACACACATATATTCATAATGGCATACAGATATACATTCATAATGGCATACAGACATACATACATTCAGACTGACATACATGCATATATACAGACATACTGACAGACATACATGCATACAGACATCCATACACACATACACACGTTCATAATGATATGCAGGCATACATTCATACGGACATACAGACATACATATATAATGACATACAGACATATATATATATATATACACATAGACAGACATACAGACAGACAGACATACATGCATACATACATCCATAGACATACATGCATGCACACAGACATACACATACATACATACATGCATGCATATAGTCAGACATACATACAGACATACATACTTAGACATACATACAGACAGACATACATACACAGACAGACATGCATGCCGACAGACAGACATACACATACATACAGACACACACACACAGACATGCATGCAGACAGACATACATAGACATACATGCATACAGACAGACATACATACATACAGAGACAGATATACATACACAGACAGACATACATAGACATACATGCATGCCGACAGACATACAGACATACACATACATACATACATACAGACACAGACAGACATACATACACACACACAGACATACTGACAGACATACAGACACTGTCATCCATACACACATACATTCATAATGGCATACAGACATAAACAGACATACATTCATAATGGCATACAGACATACATACATACATTCAGACTGACATACATGCATATATACAGACATACTGACAGACATACATGCATACAGACATCCATACACACATACACACGTTCATAATGATATGCAGGCATACATTCATACTGACATACAGACATATATATATATACATAGACAGACATACAGACAGACAGACATACATGCATACATACATCCATAGACATACATGCATGCACACAGACATACACATACATACATACATACATGCATGCATATAGTCAGACATACATACAGACATACATACTTAGACATACATACAGACAGACACAGACAGACATACATACACAGACAGACATACAGACATACACATACATACAGACACACACACAGACATGCATGCAGACAGACATACATAGACATACATGCATACAGACAGACATACATACATACAGAGACAGATATACATACACAGACAGACATACATAGACATACATGCATGCCGACAGACATACAGACATACACATACATACATACATACAGACACAGACAGACATACATAGACATACATGCATACATACATACACACACAGACAGACATACATAGACATACATGCATGCCTACAGACAGACATACATGCAGACAGACAGACAGACATAGACATACATGCAGACAGACAGACATAGACATACATGCATACAGACAGACAGACATAGACATACATGCATACAGTCAGACAAACACAGACACACACAGACATACATACATAAACATACAGACAGACAGAGACAGACATACATGCAGATAGACAGACATGCATACAGACACACACAGCTCATTTTCCAGCCACCCTCCTGTCTCTTACCTTTTCTTTACAGGAGGGTGGCTGGGGATGATGGGAATCGGCGCGGCTCCCTCTTCACTGCCTGGCTCTCCGTCTTCACCGGCGCGCGCGCTCCTCCCGCGCGGAGTGTGCTGGGAGGAAGAGACCACTTCCTCCCAGCAGCACTTGCGGCTTTTTTTTTTTTTTTTTTTTTTTTTTAAAAGGGGCCCGGTCGAGGCCACAGCGCTGACCGGGCCCCTGAAGATATAGGGCCCATCGGGTGGCCCTAAGTGTGTGGGCCACCCGATGGACCCCACATGTGGGGCCCGGTCGGCCGGGCCCCCCAGGGCCGCCGGGCCCGTGACAACCGTTATGGTTGTCACCCCCTGATGGCGGCCCTGGATGCATTAATTTATTTTAGAGCATCTCTGTGGGGAGTGTTCATGATTTTCATGAAGAGCGGAAAGACGCTGAACACAATAGACCGTAATAGAAAGCTATTCCACTGGATTTCTGCGTGACTGCCACAAAGATTTCCACAGGGACAAACAGAGAAAGCAATGTTTATAGAATAGAGAGTGCAGGAACAGTCCTTTTGCACACAAACTGTCATATTTCAGAGACACTCCAAGTATCAGAATCAATGCAGCTTAATGTAATAGTCCAGGCAAAATGACTGTAACTAATTAATGTAAAATAACTGGTTCTTTCCTTTTTCAATTTTCTGAGAAAAGGCAGTGTTTACATTAAGCTGTAAGGACACTTCTGTTGACTGCCACTCAGAAAGCCATTAAAGATACTTCCTATTGTGGTTCTGCAATCTTTACAGGATTGAGGTTCTGCATGAAAACAGCGAACACTACTTATAGAGATGCATTGTGCTAATGAATCTCTATAAGGCTGGTGATTACCTTGTATATACAGTAACCCCAAATGCATTCCTAGTGAATTGATCTCAGCCAGGGGGAGTAGTGGTGACTGCGGCAAGACCTGTGCGGCATAGAGTACAGCTAAATTAAAACTACTTTTGCTTTGTTTTTTTTAACTATTTTGCATGGGCATAAATCTATCTGATCATAAAGACATCAAAATATTTAACCTCAAATGTTATTTGTGATGACTCTCTGTAATTCTATTTCACAAAAAAACACAACTGCATTGCAGTGCAGAAGACAATACAAATAGTACTCAATTGGCAAAATCAACAAACGGAAAATGAACAAAAATTTGTAAATGACACGTTACAGGTGTAAAAAAGAATAAAAATAAAATACTGGGTTGTGTTTGCTAATAATTCTCTTTTAAATGTTA